CAAGATTTTATTTAATATGCGAACATCATCCCGCGGGTTATGTTAATACCGTCTTTTTGTTCAATTTTCTATCTAGGCTTAAGTCTTCTATACTTTGACTATGGAAATCTGTCTCTTTTTTTTCTAGATCTGTGTTCATTTTCCCAACGGTATCCCGAAAATGTTAAAGAGGTTATTTCTGATTTTATCTTAATTTGTTGTTATACCATTGCATAATATATCATAAATACATGTTTGTTTGATAATTCTTTTGGATCTTCTTCTATAACATTTTAGAATTAGTTGTATTATGCTCTAATTCTTGTAATTTTGTGAATTTTAAAGTGTAATTTTGGATTTTCGGAGAAACACTCCTAGAACTTGTTAGTAATTTAGTTGCATTGCATACACTGTTCATCTCTGTTTACCCACAGCTACGTGAGTATGTAAGTATAAGGGGTGTGTGAATGTGAATGTATTGATGCACATGAACTTCATTCTTTCCTCTCAGTAGAAGTGCCAAAAGAACTGTTTGTGATATCAGTTGTACTAGGATCATTTCTATACTGGCCCAGCCGTGGCAGTTTTATAATTTTTTTCCCATAAATAGTGGTCCAGCGCAAAATTACCATGACTGGACAATGCTGCAGCATATCCATTCTATTACCTATTCATGATAGGCAGAGACGCTTCAAATAAGGAAAGAAGACGTGCGCAAAGATTTTACACGTCAGGCCATGTGTGTGTTATACAGGTAGTTGCATAGAACAAAAAGCTGCCTTTCTTATTGGTTGGCAGCTGACAAGTCATGATACTCATTAGCATATTTATCACTGCAACAATTTTATGTCAACGTGGAAGATTCTACACACTCATTCTAAAAAGAATTATATAAAACAATAAAATTGCCTAGATCATTTCCTTCCCATGCAGCATAATCTACTTGGCCACAGAATTGACCAACTTGAACTTCAAGCCGACAGCATTTTGCTTTATTTAACGTGACTCATCTCTCCACAGTTGAAACATCCAAGTGATATTGTATTATGTAGGTGAGTCTGCATGTTGTATATTTGTGTGTGAATATCATCTCTCTAGATCTATAAGGCCCGTAGATAGGAGGCCTTCGTTTTCTGGAGATCTGAACATGTGTAGAAACATTCTGAGGGGAGTGTGGCACTGTCTCCGGCATTGGCTTTGACAATGAAATTAGAATTGTTTTTTTTAGCTGTACTTCTGAATTGATGATTCATGTATGCGGAGTCTGTGTGTGACTTATCGCCTCTTTGTAATATTCCAGACATGTATACCTTTGCATTTGATCAGTGCTTTCACTTTATAGCTTCACTGCACAATCAGCTGGCGCACACGTGATAATTAAATAAATATGATATTTACTATATGGGGGCCGCCATCTTGAATGACGCATAAAACTAAATAAGGGACAAGTTGTGAAACGCGTTTTTCAGATTTCTACAAATCAGGACAAAAATACCAATCTTTCACAAAAATACGGTCCGTTGTAATTAGGTGTTCGTATGCAAGGGATTTTTACACACAAAAACGACGAATTAAGCCGAATTTTGTTATCGGTTGGCTTAATATAACCCCAACGGACGTGGCAATCGACGATTGACTTCGAAACGTTCGAAATTTCGAACAAACTCCCGGCACACCTAGCGCGATATGCGTCAGATCGGTGTAGAAGACGCCGAACTGCAGCGTCAATGCAGTGGAACAATATGGCGACTGCAAGTTACCAATCTCCTTCCCAGAGGCCTTTGCGCTTTACGCAATCGTGCCTCTGCCACAGGCAGCCTTCAATTTTGTGGTCAATCACCTCACTACGCACGGCCATTTTTCCGCGGTTGTTTCATTTGAAACCGAACTACAAAAAGCGGGGAAAAAAAACGTATGTGACATCCGAACTATTTATACGAACCATTTTATCGCGGACTATGTTTTGCAAGGTAATGTTACTGTAGTGAAATGGCGCACGTGATACATTAAAACTGGGGAGAAAAAACGTTCT